GAGGTATACCTCGCAGTTGCACAACGTGTTATTATTAAGTTTCTCGTCAACGAAAATGTAAATGCTGCTGAAATTCGGCGCCGTTTACTCGTACAGTTCAGGGAAAGAACCCTTTCATGGGCTGAAGCCGGGTGTAACGGAAGGTGTGAAGCAGTGGTGTAACGAATTTAAGAAAGGACGGGAGCGTGTTGAAAACATTGCCCACAGTGCAAATCACCGAGACTGTTCGAGAACTCATCGAAGGCGATCGGCACTTAACTGTTCTTGAAATCTTTCAGGAACTTCAGAGCTGCCTATCGGTCAAAAAGGCGTGGCATTCCGATTAGAAGTGTGTTGCTTCTCCATGACAACACCAGACCCCTCACCGCAGCAGTAACACAACAAAAATTGGGCGATATGCATTGGGTTGTCCTAGAACATCCATCCTACAGCCCAGACCTGTTATCATGCGACTTCCATATATTTGGGCCACTCAAGGAAGCTTTTCCACAGGTGGACAGCGTTTACAACGAACGAGGAGGTGCAGCAGTTCATGTGCCATTGGTTTGATACACGTCTGCAAACTTTTTATGGTACCGGAATTAAAAAATTATCAGACCGTTAGAGGAAGTGTATAAATAAGACGGGGTACTATGTAGAAAAATAAGAATTGAATGATAAAAAATGAAAATTAGAATTGATTTTGAAAAATATATCGTTTATTTGCAAAAGGCTGGATTACATTTGATCCACCATCGTAGTTTATACAAATATAAAAAAATACACAAATATTTATATATACTTGCAATTTGATGAAAGCAATATTATGAAGATCTTTCTTATTTTTTGATGAATTGTTAATTGTCAAATTAATTATCTACACATCGATACTTTTGTGATTTACTATGTGATATAAATGTTATTTTTAAGTCTATTTGTATTACACATTCGTTAGGAATATCCGTTTTAGCCGAAATAGGTTTCACTCTTTGTCTTTGGAGTAAGAAAAGTAATTTAATGTTGAAGAGGGAAGAAACGAAGTTCCAGTGCAGCACTAGATTAATTAAAACGAACAAGCTTATTATATTATACATATATATATATAGTACATAGTGTCAACACACCGAGCAATCATCATATGAAGGGGATTTGATAAGTTAGTGACTTTGAAATAAAAGCATCTGTTATGTCCTGGAAGAGGATGTACGCAACAAACATCGCTTACTCTCGCACTCGCGAAGCCTAAACGTACTGGTAGGTCTGCAGATCAGGTCAAGGTTCGGAGAGGCCCATTTACTCCGATCACAGAACGTATGTTAGGTGGTCCTTTATTTAGGTCAAAGAACTTAATTTCTTTACCTGGGATAGGACCATATGAAAGAGTTGAGAGGGGAATTCAGATTTAAGTAATTGAAAGGAAATGAATAAATAATTATAACAACTTGGTTAAATTTAGGGCATTTTGAATAAAACAGTTTATTAATTATACTAATAATATAATTTGGTTTTCACATGGATTAATAATAGTGGTAAATTGATGAGAAAAGTCATTGTAAAAGATACAATATTTAAAAGATGAAAGGGTTAGCTAAAGTTAAACAATGAGATATATAGGTTAACATTAAACAAACTTTTATAAATCAGCATTATTGGAATAATGCAAATACAAGATGAAGATTAAAATAAGATTAAGGAAAAAAGTAATCCGTGTAACTTAATATAATACGATCTGATTTAACGTAACAAGAATATTTAATGTATCGGTAAGGCGAGAAAACCATCATTATATAATACAAGGAAGATAATAATTATGCTGTGTACGTGTTTGTTTTGAGGAGTGAAGTGGGATTGGAGATTGGATTGAAATGATTAAAAGTCATGTTTAAATATGAAATGGAGACTTACGATTTAGATGAATCAACTGTGCTGAATAGTACGTAGAACATGAGTTCGTTGATCGTGGTACCAGATTTATGGGGTACCGTAATACCGAAAGAAATAGTTCACTTAAGAGATCTCGACTTGCACAGCGAGTTGTTCAGCAGCAGAAGGCGAAGTGAAAATGACTCACTGACTGACACTGGCTGACTGACACTGGCTGACTGACTAACACTAACTGATTACGGTTAAATCGAGCGATTCTGATACTCGGACTAATTACCGGAATATCGAAACGAATATCTTTAAGAAATCCTGAGTTACGCACAGCAAGTTTCACAAAACGGGTGACACTGGAGAGACCCCGATCTGAACAACAACGGCGAAGTCGTGGCGGAAGCCACAGGCACGAACGCAAAAGATATTGAAAACGATAATACGCGACAGTAGTTAAACGGGCAAAGAGAGGTGCTCGCGGCAAGAGAGTGAGGCTTATATAGGGAAGATTTTTAGGGATGGTGAATGACGATCGGCAATGAGAGTAGGTTGCGTGGAAAACGGATATAGAGGATTGAAAAACGGATATTCTGGAAAATTCCTAATATCATCTGGATGTTATAAATGATCCTAAGAACCTAATCCTATCAAAAGGCCTGAGTCCGACCATGTACAAAGGCGGATAAGATCGCAGACGCATTGGGAAGCTCATGACGCACTTGGCGGCGTGTAATCGTATCTTTTTACAATAACGCTTGCCCAAACCCGTCTGCTTCCTGATCATAAAAGAAAAGGATTCGTTATTCCCTAGGATGTAACACATTTTTTTTTTACCAAAATGCAACTTATTTTTCAATATAATTTTAGCTCGATACATTTTGCTCAACGATATTCCAACTTCTTTAAGCCTTCCAAAAAATATTTCTCAAATTCTGCAAGATATGCTTTTGTATCAGCGATGACCTCTTCGTTCAATGCGAAACTTTTTTCAGCGATTCATCTTTTCATATTTAGAAAGAGAAAAAAGTCGCAGGTGGCCAAATCTGGAGAATAAAGTGAATGAAGGGGCAGTTCGTAGCGCAATTCGACCAATTTGGCCTTTAACATACGGAATTCACTTTTTTTCCATTGTAGCAAAACAATACAAATTTATCCGCTTAACTTATAAGCTTTCAAACGGTGTTAAAAATTTGCTATTTGACAGATCTACTTGAAACCTTGGTGTGTATGCCTACAAAGAATAGCAAACATTACAAATAATATTAAACTTGCGATCTGAACGCATCTCTTATCAAAGTCACTGATTTATTAAGCACTTTATGTAAATACCTTACGTAATTACTCATTAACACATTGAGTGCGACGTCAGTCCCTCGGGACTGACAGTGAACTTTCCATTCAGGCGGTGTCACTACCTGGGGACTGACAGTGGACTTTTCGTTTGGGTGACATTGGTGCGTGAAACCGGCATTGTCAAAGGTTAAAAAATTAATGTTATAATTTTAATGGAGTTTATTAAAACATTTTAAGCAAAGGTGTGGATGAGATTTGCACATATTACAATAAGATTGATCGTCTCTTGGAGGTCACCTTCTTGCCGTTCCCCTTCCCATTATCTTCTGTTTATAATTTGTATACTTATGCATTGGCTGCACCATCCCGCAGTAAAGTGTAACAAATAATCTTCTGTTCATACTCTCTATCCCAAAAACCTCTTGAGCGCTCGGCATCAAGTGCTCGCTCGCTGCCGCCTGAGCGGAAAAGATAGCAAAATCGGCGCCGCGCTCAACGTGTTAACTATTGCGAAATTTACTAAACGGTGTATGATTTGTTTGCTCAGTTAAAGATGTTCTATTTTCACACGAGCGCTAAACGGAAAAGTTTCGAATATCTTCTGTGTATAAAAGAAAAAGTAAGCAATTCTAATAACTTATTTGTGTTAATAAACATTAATATATCCAAACTGATATTATGCAAGAGTCATATCCATGGACATGCATAAACATTAGTACTTTTTTGGTGACTCACTAACTTTGTCGCATTCCTCAAATTGGGAAATTGCGGTCGGAGAGGCACTGCCCTCGATTTAGCACAAATTATTTCATTGACACGTGGTGACACCTTCATTTTTAGATGAACGAGTTCGCGGTTGCACAGCAAAAAATTATCAAGAAACATCTCGAAAACGACGTATTGAATATCGATATAATAAAGAATAAAAACATATTGTTGGTCAACGAAAATCCAGCATGCGAACATATTAAACCCGAGCAATCGAATGCTGTGTTCTTCAGAGGTCTTCACATAAATAAAACAACGCCTCCATTCTTGCCGAAAGTAGTAAACTTCAAAATAATTATTATCTCTTTCCGCATCGACTAGGCCGTATTCGCTAACGTTCAATTTTTCGCCGTAACCCAATTAACTGAATATTATCGGTTGCCATAATAGAGTTAGTTTTTTCCGTATAAGTTTATCATTTGAGCACAATGTAGTACAAATCTAGCACAAATTAGCACAATTGTCAAAATGAATAAATTCGAAAAATGTGGAACTAACTTCTTACTCTAGGTCATTTCTTCATTTCGCTTAATTTACAATTCAATTTGTAGCAAAATAGAAATCTTTACAACGTTATTTAAATCGATAATATTAGCATATTATATAATTATATGACAAAACATAATGTATTATCATAAATGTGACATTCCAAATGCTAATATTTGTCAAAGCTGACCTCGGGTCTATATATAACGATATTGTACAGTACGTATTACCTTAAGTTTGGTCATTCCGCCAGTCTAGAGAGTCGTGTATATAACGTGTCATATACGTTGTGCCAATACAACGTATAAATTTAATAGATTAACTCTCACAAAGTAGTCACTTAAAATAGTTACTATTATTGTTTGTCTGTACGTTACGGATTATTTCATATTTTCAGTTTTCAAGTGATAATATAAAAAGGATTTTGCTTATTTACGCGGATGTGAAATGATTAATTATTGGTGTCATACGCATGTAATATCGGTCTCTCGTTAGAATCGATGTATCGCTCGCATATAACTCGCGAATGTGTTAAATAAGAAGAAGCTTATTGTGCTTCCTGTCAATGTGAAATTGTTCGACATAATATTAACGAAAAGATGCAGACGAGAAACGCTTTACTGTCGATTACTATGTTACTGTCGATTGTGGTAAATTGTAAGAGAATCCTGATCATCACTCCTGCACCTCTACATAGTCATCAGTTGGTGTTTCGACCGCTATGGCAAGCCCTACATAAGCGGGGTCATGAATTGGTTCTGATTACGATACCGATAAACGCTACATTAAGCAACTACACAGAAATCGATTTTAGCTTCTTGAAAGTTACGCTTCACAATGAGGAATTCATGAGTCAACATTTATCTAATTCGATATGGCAAGTGGAAAAGATCACGTTGGATTTAATGAACATGATTAACAGGGAGACGTTTGAACATCCTCAAGTGAGACAGCTCTATGCACCGGAAAGCAATGAGAAATTCGATTTGGTTATTGTAGATGTAATGTTGGGACCCGCTCTGTGTAGTTTTGCATATAGATTTCACGCACCTTTAATAGGTAAGAATAATTGTATCAAAAAAAAATAAGACTACGTTAGATTATACCCGATTTGTACCGAAATATCAATATTCTTCAAATTTGATACGAGTGATCTTTGTGGAATGTTAAAAAATAAATAGTTTCTCTCATCATTGTCTTAGGTATAACGTCTACGGAAGTGTATCAATATATACGGTATCTTCTTGGCGATTTGCTGTTACCCTCGTATCCCTCGAATTGGGAATTTGATAGAAATGCCGGTTTTAACCTGCCTTTTTGGCAGAGAATGACAAACTATCTCGAGATGTTGGCCTATATTTATCGTTGGACTTACATCTATATGCCTCAACAGCAGGAAATAGCCCGAAAATATTTAAGCGCTAACGCGGGCGATCTTTTCGATACGATAGGAAACATGAGTCTGCTTTTCTTAGGGCGATCGTTCACGTTTACGTACATTAAACCCAAAGTACCTAACATAATCTATTTTGATAGCTTACATGTTACGAAGAAACCATCACCTTTGCCAAAGGTAAATGTATATTATTACGATCGAACCGATATATGTATGTCAATAAATATCGATAAAAGTTTTTGCGGACGAAAAAAAGTTATTTACAATATAACAATTTATAATTCGTTCGTTGATTTAAGTGTATATTTTTAATTTTATTTTATATAACCCTGTTATTTTTACCTTTAATTTATAATTTTAGAATTTAAAACAATTCCTCGATGGCGCAACGGAAGGATTTGTTTACATGAGTCTTGGGAGCACCATAAATTCGAGTTGCTTGCCGAAAGAAAAATTAAGCGTGGTCGTTCAAGCATTCACGAAGTTACCATATAAGATTCTCTGGAAATTCGAGAAAGAAAAACCACCAAGAATACCGGATAATGTTTTCATAATGAAGTGGATTCCGCAGCAAGAAGTTCTGGGTATAATTTAAAACTATTAAACTGTATTACAACATCACGATGGTATCTTTTCTCTTCAAATAATAATCAATGTAATTATACAGCTCATCCGAACATTAAGGTTTTCGTCTACCAGGGTGGTGTTCAAAGTACCGAGGAAGCTATTCACTTTGCTGTGCCGCTTGTTGGGATCCCTCTTATGTACGATCAAGGATATACGATCAATAGGCTATTCGAGAAAGGTGTTGCTCGACGATTGAACTATAACAATTTATCCGACACAGATCTCGTGAACGCGATTCGCGACGTTTTCAACGATAAACAGTACGTTCGATAAATCAAGAGCGGGCAATTAGGTATAAGAAGCAATATCAAAGAATCGCATATCACTCGAAGAATTTTTTGATACAGATATAAGGAAAATATGATCCGATTGAGCGATCTCATTAAGGATAAGCCAGTTGACGATATCGAGAAGCTCGTATGGTGGATTGAACACGTGATGCGTTACAATGGTGTACCTTACATGCGATACAACGGCGCGGATCAACCGTTCTACGAACGATATGATACGAACATCATAGCCTTTCTCGCAATCGCTATATTTATGATTATAATGATCCTCCTTTTTGTTCTAACCGAGTGTTTGTACTTTATCATTCGGAATCGTATGTTGATATATACCACTTATAAACCTGGTTTCCACAACATGAGCGTGAAAGAAAAAACTAGCTGAGCATTATTTATAGTGCACGGTGAGAATAACTCGCATCTCTTTGAGTAATTTTTAACATAGTCCATCGAATTATATACTTTGTGTAAAACATTTACGATATTGTTATTAGTTTCAGGTACAATAATATTATTCAGGTCATACAATTATATTATGCAACCTTGGAGTAATAAGGCACGAAAATATAATTAACACAAACCTATGTATATCATAGTACTGCTACTATTGCACATGTTACCTTCAAATTGACTTGACCTTGCAAACAACTACAAAGTGAATAAATATCTTGATGTAAAAGATATATATATATATATATATATATATATAATAAGTGTACATTAATATTTACTCCTGAACAGAGATAACGTTTAATCTTTTATAAAAAAGAGAACGAATATATTATATATTTCATACACAGGGTGTCTCATACAAACTTCATCCGTTATGTATTATATTGGGTATGGAAATAAGTTTCCGCCCTTTTTTAATAAAAAAGAGGTATTTATTTAAAGAAAATAATACAAAGTGAATTCATTCAAAGTATGCTACATCGGAAGCGGAAACTTTCTCCTACCTTTTAGATAATAAACGGATTCTTCGAAGGAAGAAATCTTGTTCTTTTGAAGCGGTCCATTTATCAAACCATTTTTTGATACCTTCATAAGAATTGAATCGCTCTCCAGAAAGGGCCGACTGCATGGACCGGAACAAATGGAAATCTGTAGCAGTAATGTCCGGCGGGTGGGGTAGAGTTTTCCACTTCACTCTTTCCAAGTATTTCTTGACCGGTTTTGCAACGTGTGGTCTAACGTTGTCATGTAGCAGAATCAGCTTGTCGTGCCTATTGTCCCATTTCGGTCGTTTTTCTTTCAAAGCTTGGTTCAAATGTATCAGTTGTAGTCAATAACGATCGCCAGTGATGGTTTCGGACGGTTTCAGCAGCTCATAATATACAACACCCCTTTGAACCTACTAGATGCACAGCATAACCTTCGAAGCATTATTCCGGATATTCTGTTTTGGCATTGATGGACCTGGTTCACCTGGTATCACCTATGCTTTCGGCCGTTTACCGTTATTGTAGTATATCCATTTTTCATCGCCAGTCACGATATGGTGCAGAAAATCCTTCCTTTGTTGTCGTTGAAGCAGCATCTCGCACGTGACCAAACGTCTTTCCATGTCTCTCTTTTTCAATTTGTATGGCACCCAATTTCCTTCTTTCTGCACCATTTCCATTGGGTGTAGATGTTTTTCAACAGTGGATCTATCAACATTTAATTCTTTTGACAACTCTTCGAGCGATCGACATGGATCTTCTTCAAGTAATATTTGCAATTTTGCATCTTCAAATTTTTTCGGTGCACTTTCGCATTCTTTGTCGCGCACGTCGAAATCACTATTGCCGAATCGCTGAAACCATTCTTTGCAAGTAGTATTGGATGGAGCATGCTCACTGTAAATATCTATGAGCAAACAATACGTTTCTGTAGCACTTTTTTTTAAAACAAAATAACAGAATAAAACTTCCTGCAGAACAACTTTCTGTTGTTTTTTTTTAATAGGTTCCGTCATTTTCAATGCAAAAAATTACTCTTGTTTACGCTTTGAACGAATGCCATTTTAACTATTGGGCTCAAAAGCTTGAACACACTTTTCAAATACATGTATTGCTGTTTTATCAAACACACAAGCAGTGCTACTAACGACATCTCTCTACAATGGGCGGAAACTTACTCCCATACGCAATAATATAGTACTTGTAGTTATAGTCAAGTCTGCGGATAGTTTGCATTATTTTTGGGGGATTCCGTCGACTACTATTTCTCCACTCTTCTCATATAGCATCTAGGCTCGTTTTGGAGATGTAAGATGCTTAATTTCAAGGATGGTATTAGTTAGAAATTGCATGGAGATTTGTGTGACGAGTGTTGCCCCGCGCGCTATTTACTATTTAGAGAAATATTATTATTATCAGAAAAATATTATTATATTGTTATTATTATTGGGTTGTCCGAGAAGTTCGTACGAGTTTCAACAGATGCTTTTATGAGCATTGCGTGAGCTGTCAAAGTGATTGAAAATATATGTTATTTACATAACGTTTAACAAATGATATTTTAATGCGTCACTAAATGTTTGGTTGAGATCGGTTGAGTCTATGCGTTGTTACTGAGTTTTGAAGATAAAAGATAAAAAGGTGCGTTTTCGATATGTGATATTTCTCTATTACAGTAAAGAGAAAAATGCTGTGTAGATAATGAGCAAAATTTGTAAAATGTATGGGGACGATGCCATTGTTTTATCAACCATTCGGAAAATGGTTCGCTAAATTTAAAACGGATAATTTTGACTTTGAAGGCACGAAGCGCTCTGGAAGACCTTCGGTTATGGATGATGACCACATCAAAGCGCTAACCGAAAATAAACTATGACACACGACTCGAAATATAGCAGAGATTATAAACGTTTCAAAAACTATCATCATTCATAACCATTTAGTAAAACTTGGATATATTTTTCGTTATGATGTTTAAGTTCCATATAATTTGTCCGAAACAAATTTAACGGGCTGATTTCCCAATCGCGATATGTTGCCCAAACACAACGAAACTAATCCATTTTTTAAATACATTTTATGACGGGTGATAACCCGTCTTACATCTTGAGATCATGCTTGAGCGTCTTACATTTTCGAGAGGAATTTAGATGTTATGTAACGAGAGGAGTAGGGATGGTAGTCAGAGGAATCCCTGAAATAGTTCAAACTATCCGCAGGTTCAGATCAACATAAACAAAAAATTCTCTTCTATTTTGCAAACAATCATGCAAAATTGTTATTCGAGTTATTAATTATTGAAAATGGTCATGTATAAACATTTCTTTAATTAAATAACTTAAAAATTTGAGTAGTTATTTATATAGTAACAAATTAGAATATAACATAGCAAATTAGTAAAGTTTTTTTTGGTGAAAATGGCTTAATCAATACACGATGATTGTTATACGTAGCGATAGATTCAGTGTTCCAGGTTCCGAGTCCAATAGATTGATATTTATTGCTAGGCACAACAGCTGTCATGCACTTACAAATTAGGTCATTCAAACAACAAAGTCCTTTACCATTTTGCAAATAACCACACAAATTTTTGAGCTATTAATTAAAGAATCTACTACACATGTTCACTTGCAATATATTACGTCCTGGGTACCTCGGTAACTGAGTCCTGGGTAACTACGAATTCTTTTTTTTTTATATGATTGGGAAAAAGACGGACTTCGGGCAAGCGCTATTGTAAAAAGAATAAGATTATGACGGCTCGCCGTTAAACGCGCTATATGTTTCCACACGCGTCTTTCATCTTTTTCGCCTTCACGTAAGGCACGTAGTTTTGTTACATCCAGGGTAACCCGGGAACAACGAATCCTTTTCTTTTATGATCAGGAAACAGACGGATTTGGGCAAGCGCTATTGTAAAAAAGATACGATTACACGCCGCCAAATGCGTCATGAGTTTCCCAACGCATCTGCGATCTTATCCGCCTTCATATATAGTCGGTAGGACTCAGGCCCTTTGGAATTAGGTTCTTAGGATCGTTCATGACATCCAGATGATATTATGAATTTTCCAGGGTATCCGTTTTCCAATCCTCTATATCCATTTTCCACGCAAACTCCTCTCATTAGCGATTGTCATCCGCCACTCCCAAAAATCTTTCCTATATAAGCCTCACTCTCTTGCCGCGAGCACTCTTTGCCCGTTTGACTACTGTCGCGTATTATCGTTTTCAACATCTTTTGCGTTCGTGCCATTACAGCTTCCGTCACGACTTCGTCTTTGTTGTTCAGATCGGGATCTCTCTAGTGCCACCCGTTTGTGAAACTTGCTGTGTGTAACTCGGGATTTCTTAAAGATATTCGTTTCGATATTCCGATAATTAGTCCGAGTATCAGAATCGCTTGATTTAACCGTAGTCAGCCAGTGTTAGTCAGTCAGTCACTTCTTCTTTTTCTGCTACTAAGTAACGCGCTGTGCGAGTCGAGATCTCTTAAGTAAACTATTTCTCTCGGTATTCCGGGATCCCATAAATCCAGTACACCACGATCAACAAACCCATATTCTACGTACTATTCACCACAGTTGATTCACCTAAATCGTAAGTCTCTATTTCATATTTAAATATGACTTTTAATCATTTCAATCCAATCTCCAATCCCTCACTTCACTCCTCAAAACACATACGTACACAGCGTAATTATTATCTTCTTTGTATTATATAATAATGTTTTTCTCGCCATACCGATACATTAAACATTTTTGTTACGTTAAATCCGATTGTATTATATTAAGTTACACGAATTACTTTTTTTCTTAATCTTACTTTAATCTTCATCTTGTATTTGCATTATTCCAATAATGCTGATTTATAAAAGTTTGTTTAATGTTAACCCATATATCTCATTGTTTAACTTTAGCTAACCCTTTCATCTTTTAAATATTGTATCTTTTAAAATGACTTTTCTCATCAATTTACCATCATTATTAATCCATGTGAAAACCAAATAATTTTATTAGTATAAGTATTAAACTGTTTTATTGAAAATGCTCTAAATTTAACCAAGTTGTTAAAATTATTTATTCATTTACTTTCAATTACTTAAATCTGAATTCCCCTTTCAACACTCTTATATGGTCCTATCCTAGGTAAAGAAATTAAGTTCTTTGACCTAAATAAAGGACCACCTAACGTACGTTCTGTGATCGGAGTAAATGGGCCTCTCCGGACCTTGACCTGATCTGCAGACCTACCAGCACGTTTAGGCCTCGCGAATGCGCGAGTAAGCGATGTTTGTTGCGTACATCCTCTTCCAGGAAGTAACAAATAATTAATAATTCGAAATTTTGTGTGGTTGTTTACAAAATGGTGAAATGCTTTCTTGTTCACCTTAATCTAAACTATAAATATATAATGAATGGGACGGGTTTCGTTAGACACTCTGTATACGCTGTATACACTGTATAATGTCATTCTTGTTATCTCAAATATTGCCTGTACAATGTAAACTATGCAAAAGGAAAAAGAATAATTAAACAACGATACATATGATAGCGTCACCATGCTTATAGATATCGCTGAAATATTGTCACTATCGCTTCTTTTCATATAACATGTATGTTAATTTATCAGAAGAAAAATGTATCAGTGCAAATTCATCAGAAAAAATTTGCATAGTTGCCTAATTATTATAAATCATCAAAAAACATATGTTCAGTCATTTAAATAAATATGCATGACAGGCTTTGGTCTGTGTGTCCTCGCTTCGTATGCTCATAACCAAAACACNAGCAACGGATTTTTCAAACTCGGGCAAACCTTTCGCCGCACCCTGTACCTCTTAACTGACGTAATGTGTATGACATGTACTGGTGTTTGTGAAATTCTATCCGCCGTAGCACGTCGAAAAGTCTATTCTTATATATCGTTGCTAACATTTGAATCACATTAAAAATGATTCGCGCTTATATTCTTGTAGTAACATTTTTGTTCGCGATCACAGGACACCCCGCATGTAGCGAGAGGATATTAGTCGTAGCACCAACTCCATCATTCAGTCACCAAATCGTCTTTCGTTCTTTATGCCGTGCCTTACATAAGCGAGGCCACGAGATCGTGACCATCACGTCGATTCCAATGAGAAATTCGTCTTTACTGAACTATACGGAGATCGATATCAGCTCTCTGTATCAAAAAGCCGTGGATTGGCAAATGATTCGCACTTGGCAGAATTCTAATCAGTTAACATTTAAAAGATATATATGTAAATCGCTGAATATTATGATAGAAGAGATATTCAAGAATCCGGATGTGAGAATGTTATACACCAATGATAGCAATGAATCGTTCGACGTGGTGATGGTGGAAATGATAGCGTCACCGGCTATGAACATTTTGGGATACGTGTTTAACGCTCCTGTGATAGGTAAGATTTGTAACTAAAGAAATCGATTTCCATTATAATGATACGCATGTGACGATAATCGCAGATTCAGTTTTTCCACGAGGAAATTGATGTTAATTATAAATAATATGCGAATACACATACGTGCGAAGGTGTCTCTACGTTGGAGTTGCACTACCATCACCAGTACATCATTGGTAATCCACTTCTACCGTCGCATGTCTCGACTTGGGATACCAGCGTAACAAATAGCGACGGCATGAGCTTCTGGCAGAAGACTCAGAACTTCCTGTACGTATGGTTCTCCGTTTACGAATGGGTAAACGTGTACGTTCAGCGAGATTATGAAACAATCAAGAGATAGATAGGGAGTGACGTCCTGAGTCTCTACAATCTTGTGAGAAATATCAGTTGTATCAGTTAATAATCCTTGTCGTTAAGAACGCAGTGTTGACATCAGCTAGACCGGACCTACCAAATGTCATATATTTCGACAGTATACACGTGGAACAGACACCGCCGATTTTGCCGCAAGCAAGTATATTAACACCATAGCTAACAGCATGTCTTTTCTCTAATCGTTTCTAACGCACTCTGCGACGAATCGGAAGATTAGCCAGAGATATCTCAAGCAATTTTTCATTTCAATGAAAAACATTGCTTTAACGTGCGATATTATTGCGTTACTCGACAGAACCTCAAGATGTTTCTCGACGACGCCACTGACGGCTTTATTTACGTAAGTTTCGGCGGAAATATCGATATCACGGACGAAATTAAACGAAGCCTCGTGGAAGTTTTCTCGGCGCTACCTTGTAGAGTGCGCACATGTGCAACTTAACGAGCAATGTCTTTACGGCAGAATGGCTGCCTCAACAGGGCATTCTCGGTAATATTAATTTTTCTGACTCTTTTCTGGAATGAGCGGTGTCAATTTTAACAGCAGACAACCCGAAATCAACCTCGAATTTTCGAAATATTTTCTGGCGCCACTATTTTCCTACATGTTTCCGCAGCTCATCCTAAAATCAGAGCATTTGTGTACCACGGCGGACTTCAGAGTACCGAGGAAGCTGTACATTACGCGGTCCCTCTCATAGGAATACCTTTCCAATTCGATCAGAATTATCGCGTTTGTTACTTGACGTCGCTCGGTGTAGCGAAGCATCTGGATATCTTCACATGTAGCAAGGAGGATATCGATAATGTAATTCGCGACTTACTCAGTGACATGAGGTAACGATTGATCTATTTATCCGAATTTACACGAAATGAAGTAAAGTGAATGCGCGTCCCATCGTCCCTTGAAAGAGTGGATTTATCGAGCGCGAATGACGAAACGTGGTATGTAATTTTTACAGGTATAAAGACAATATGCTGAAACTTCGCGCACGTGCGAATGACAGGCCATACGACAGCTTGGGGAAAGCTATTTGGTGGGTCGAATTCGTAATTCGTCACAAAGGAGCGGCGTACCTTCGATTTAACGGCAACGACGAGTCGTGATACCGGCGGTACGACATGGACGTTGTCGCTTTCCTCTCGATCGCCGCATTCGCGATATGTCTCCTCGCTCTCGTCGCGTGCGTACGCGCGTCGTGTTTCGTTTTCCGTTACATCGCTGTGAATAATTCGGGTTAACGCGCAACGACGAAACGCAAACGCTAAAGTTCTATCATGTGTAAAGTGTTATTAACGTTAAACTGCATGGCCACACTGGAATTTCATCACGTAGTACCGAATAAGCGCGCTCACGAAGTACACGCTCTCCTCAGTTATAAGCCTTCTAAGTTAACTAGCGGTATGACAAAGTTATATGATTATCCTACTTCGTAGCGCATATAAAACGCATATGGAGCAACAGAGAGCACGCCTGAGTTAGCAGTTTTGGTCCTGCGCTAATATTATGAGGGTACATGTACAAGTCGCGCAGCCTAAAGCGCGAAATGCAATTAACACCGAGCCCAAATGATCGTTGATCGTGCGTGATGCACGAGTCAATCGAGTCAATACAGAATTCCGCGCATGTCACATGCCGGATGGAAGTAAAACGGTAGTCATTGAATTTTTCTCCCCAAAGCATCTGCGGGTCTACTCTATTACAAATGTTTGAACTTAACACGATCGCTGTGTAACTTCGCGTTGATCACACAGATCCCTCCCGCGTAGCGTCGTTCTCGACGTGAAAACCGTGACGTACGTCCGGCGGCTCAATCAAATTTACAATAAAGCGAAGCGGCAGGAACGAAGTTTGTTTACTCGAATTGCAGACGGGGCGGAGAGGGGAGCAGTTTCCACGGCGAACCAAGTGATCTGGCGCGATCGGTCGATCGGGAAAACGCCGAGCCGGGCACAAACGGTCGCCGTCGATGCGCTGCGTCGAAGCTACCGGAAGTGACTTTCTATCGCGATGCGAGAACGTGTCGTCTTTCGGTAACCGTACTCCCAAAGTGTCCCGGACTCATCAGCCGTGGTAACACCGGGCTTACTCGACTCGCAGCCGACTTAATTCAAGCTCAGCGGCGGGAACTTGCACGAAGTAGATTACCGTACCGCCGTAGTCCGCGCATCTACGGCGTCTACGCAGCTACGACACGGCTACGAGACGACGATGGTCTCGAGATGCTCTTCACAGGGATTTCGGAATTAACGCGCCGCACATCGCGCTCCTCAACGTGAAACCGAACGCGGCCGTACTCGTGTCTGCGGAAGTCGCGCGTACGTGCGTTCGATCGCGCCACGAAGTGCAGAAACGCGATCAACCGGTGATCTCCGTGGTCGCATGACAAATTTACCTCCGCTCTGGTTAACGCTGCGGAGGACATTTTTACATAGAGACGAGCACATGCGGCCAGTTTAATAGCGTCTGTCTCGCAGCTCGTTTCAATGGCAGCGAAACGAAGCGCTAACGATACTCATACTTGCCGGAGTACGATAGCGGGCAGTCGAATTCGTCCATTTCGATGATTGGACGGTACTCTCATCGCAGATCTCCACAATTACATCGGTCTCAGTATTTCGCGCGCACGTGTGTGTGTGCGTTTCGTGAGATTTAAACGTGAGCCGTGATTTCTCACGCGGACGTGTGACGATACAAATTTCGACGATTAAACGAAACGATGCGGGGGGTCGACAAGCTCCAAGCAAGATAGGAACACCTAAGAGAGTCGAAGCCCAATAGAAGGCTGCGGAACAATAAGGTGGGGAAGAGAGAAGTGGAAGAGCGACGTGTGTGCTCTTGGCGTTCCGCGTCAAGGAAGTTTCCCCTTTGGCTTAGCAGCGTCGTGCGATGCATTATGCAAGGTGGTAAGATCTAGTAGGGAACCTGCCTGTCTTTCCGACTGTCTACCGGTTACGCCGCGTACACTCGTCGCGATTGCTAAACCGTCGCGCCGCGCAGGGAGAACAAAGACGCAGAAACTCTCGCGCGCGCGCAACTCCGTCGAGTCGAATTAGCGCCGGCGGTTATTAACGATTCAAGCAGGCAGCTTGGGAAGCAGGGTCGAGCGTAAATTAGACATCGCTCGATATTCGCACGTTATTTCAGTGTCCGCGATTAACTATTGATCACCTTATGTATGCGTCATAAGCGGTGACCGTCTAAGTTTGTGGAACAGCTTCTCTGGCCGAAAACAAACAGGCGCGCACCGCGCATTACGTGGCGAGAGATATTTCAAGTAGTCCGGGATCCAATTATGAACTAGCGAAACGCGTAAACACCGTTAGTTCTACGAGACGATTTATTTAGATCAGTGTTCAAAATTATTTATTCGCATTTTCCATGTGGTATTTTCAGGAGCTATTTTCTTTTTCTTTTCTCTTCCGCTCGTCCGTCGTCGAGTCAAGCGATTGACAGTCGTAGCGCGCAATGTCAGAACCGACAAATTTATAAGACTTACGTAAAGAGGAAGCTCAGTCTAGAACCTATGTATGGTTTTAAAATTGAGATTGCATTGTCGACCCAGTATCGGCGTAATATCCAAATGATAAAATTGGCTCAACGTTACGTGCCAGTGTCGATGCGACGACTCTAGTCACTGACATCAGCCCGGCGTTGCATTGCGGGTAAGAGTTGATTAACTGTGCTTGAGCCGATGTTGCGCCACGATCACATTTTTTGTGGAGTATCTCCAGTGCCCATGTCACTGGCAAAATTCGAAACACAACGTGTTGCTTTTCGCGGGCGATACATCTGGTACCCAGGCAAAAGTCGGCTAGCTTTTCTATACGAACATTGCGCCCCGATCGAACAATGACAATTGGTCTGCCGTAATATTACTGATATCAGTCCGAAAGTTGAGTGTCGAGCAACAGTCGACAAATCATGCTCGAGAACTGTTAAGAAACTGAAAATTTGTTTGCATATTCTTAGTACAAATGAAGCTTATCCGTCTACAACATCTCAAGAATATGTTCTTATAGTCTTATTTCGAAATTCGAAGAAGTGATGAAGTTATAAGCGATTTAGCGCAGACTATCATCCGAATATTCGGCCCACTCAGATAGGGATTGGAGCGTACGAGAATTTTTTTGTGTTCGGAGGACTGCAGGTATCTAAACAAAGAAAATATGACCTCCTAGGTATACAATAAATTTTATATGTGCGTATCCTCGATAAGGTAAATTAATCAATGCATTAATAAAAAACTTTAAGGTATATTATAAGTTAGTCATTTGAAGAAATTCACAAGAATTCCGTAGAAGAAATGAAGAAGACAATATGGGCTACATTTCATCACAAGTGCTCTACAAATGAGAAACCACGACATATTGTCCACCAGGAGCGTGTTCACCACAGCTGGTGTAAGTAGCGTCGCGCTGAAACCGCCAATAATCTTTTGGAATTTCATCACGATCCACTCCATGAAGATGTTCGAAAAGCAATAGTCTATTTATGAGGATTTATTATTGCACTTGTTAGAACGGTATTTAAGCGAACATAACCAAAATAACGAAAAAAGTTTCAACGCGACAATCTGGCGTCTCGTACCTAAACATTTTTAAAGTGGCTTGAAAATGTTTATATCTAGTGCATATCTGGTTGCAGAAATTTTTAATAAGGATTACATGGTTGTCCTAAAAGTTATAGAGACGATGGGCATCATTATTGACTAGTAATGTAAGATATATATGGATTATGCGAACAAGTAACGACTCGCGCGAGCGGAGATCAAAAGTGCTGAAGATACAGAAGAAGCTCGTAAACGACTGCCAGCCGAAACAACGTAGAAAAAATATATGACTTTTTTAATGAAGAAGAAGGTTTGCTTCATGAACTAGGAATAGCAGATTAGCCAGAAATATATTGTAAGTATGAATTTGACCCGAAACATTAAACGCGTTTCTCGTTATTTTACGTAAACTCTGTCAAATCTGTCGATATCAGAACTCAAAAACTTCTAATCGAAATAGTTTCAGCTTATGGGTAATTCAAAATAACTCTTATATCTTTGGCCTAAATCTATAAAACAAATAAAAAGTTAATAATAAATTATTAATAATTAATATTTTTTTGGGGAAGAAAGTAACGAAAAGTCACGAAATATGACAAAAAATCAAATCTTTTCTTCAAACATATTTTTTTAAGGAAATTTTATAATTTTTTACCCGGAGCGAGGTTCATGCTAGAAGGACACTAATAACAAAGGACAATATATTTTGTATTTTTGTTTCAGATCATTCGAACGGTCGCTAACATATCAACGAGGAAATAAAATAACATGCTACGCTTTGTACGATACGGCGCATATCTCGATCAAATCTTTATGAAGTATTAAATAGAAATTTATATTTCTTAATTAAATATCTATAAAATTACAATTCAATTTCAATTTGATTAAAGTTTTTTATAGTTTTCTCAAAAAAGATTTCCTAAATATATTCTATTTCTAAGCGTTCTAGATCAGATTTCTCTCTTAATTATTGAAAAGTTTTTACCGAAACTACGGTTCTATCATTGTAATTATAACAGTATTATTGTATTAATAGGGTATAAAAATAACGCACATAGAGAACTGGTTTCAATAAAATTTTAGAAATGAGGAAGCGTCTACACAGATCTCACAACAGTGACGATTCTGAGGCAAAGTGGAACAATTATCAGTCGTATGGCTCAAAGAACGAGCGGGAAAGATAAAAGAAAGAAAATACACGTAACCCTCAAAAATTGTCTTGAAGATGCAATTCCAAACATTGGTTTAGATCAGTCCTGTGGACAATCTATATTCTGCTTTGTTATTTTTTACGATTTGTCAAGTGTTTTTTTATACTACTGACTGCATCAGTAGAAATCATTGAATCCCTTACGCCTGTAATCGGAATCAAAAGAAGCCAAAAAGCCTCTGTTGAGCCGCATATTAGCTTTGGATCTCGTTCTCGAAAAGTCATCGATGGTATTTCGACCAATAACCTTTCGTGCCTAGCTAGTCGTGCAAATGGATAACGAGTGCTTTCATCAAATTGATTGGCTTCTGCTTCGTGAAAAAAAGCCTCGCTCTCGGGACGAG